TTTTCAGATTCATACAGAATTTTTTTATTTTCATACTTATGTTACAAACATGGGATTGACACTTTGCTTTGTGCCAGAAACTAACACAATATTGTAAATCAACTATACTTCAATTTTTTAAAAAAAGTGAGACTAGAAAAAAATCTTCCTTTTTTCCCCTCTTTCATATATTTATACAAGTTTAAAATGACGTTCATGGCATCTTCTAAATTTTTGGCCAAGAGTTAAAAAAAATGCATCTAAACTTTGGAACATGCCTACATAGACAGAAAACTGACTCAAACAATAATTGGGGCAAACACCTGAGAACCAAAGGGCTGGGAAAGTCAGGAACATCTGAAAGAATCTTCAGCCAAGTTATGAACTTTGTACAGTAGTGCCTCCTGGCTGACACATTTACACCAGAGATGGGGTTCCACCTAACTGGCACTTGTCCCTTCCGTTAGAATTATAAACCTGCATCATCATCTTTTTAATAGCTACATAGAATCCTGTAACTTAACCAACATCCTCTTTTTGGACATTGAGATTGTTTCCAGTTTGTAGACAATGCTGCAATTAACTATTCTAGCATAGATACCTTGTAACAAATATTTGAAATGTTTCTCTTCCCTGAAAATTGTTGAGCGTAACAATTTTACTACACATTTTACACTTATGGGAGTCCTGTTTTCCTGCACATTCTTAAGTTCTTTAAGATGCACTTGTGCTGTCATTTTAGAAAATGATGGTGATCACAATACCATGTTACTGCATTGCAAGGTAATGGCAGTTCTTTAAAAATTCAAATATAGGCTTTTTTGCATATATTCCATATATTATACCCTGTAAAAAAATATTCTCTGTAATTATTATTGGTAAAACTCACAAGGATAATTTTTTACTAATTTGAAGCTCATTCTACCACGCTAGAGAAGTTGGAATAAGCTTACTCTCCTATGGGGAAATCCAATTTACATGAAGTTATATGTCTACAAGGAAACAGCTGGCCTGTGATCCAAATGACTGTAGTAAAGCTGATATGATATTTAACAATAAAGTTTTCTCAAATAATATTGAAGTGATCTTCAAAAATTCTCCCTGGGAAAAAAATTTGCAAATGTCCTGAAATGAGTCCTCCAAGATTTCCTCTGTTTGGAAAGGAGAATTCTCCCTGTTAATGCATTTGAGTTGATTAATCTGAGTTTGTGGAATGACCTAGAGGCTGTAACAGCTCTAACGTAGCAGCTAGTTATAAATAGCTTTCTTGTTAAAAGTATCAGAAATCAGTTCACACTCTGAAGGCAAAATGGGAAATGTGTTATGGGAATACAGAGGTGTCTTGTCAATGGCGTCCTGGGGTTCTTGACACAAAGACCTAGAAAGCTGGGCGACCACTCTCACTGGGGATGCTCTCTGCTTCTTTTTGAGCATCAGCTGTTTCTTGCCCTGTGTGCTGGTCTCCTGGTTCTCTGCTGTGGGAGAGGCTTGCTCTTTCCCCTTTCACCAGCTCTCTGGAGAAGAAAGTTAGTGACTCTTTGCTGTCTTTCTCCCAGTTGTTAGAAAAGGAGATTCTGACTGGCCCAGCCTGGGTCAGATGACTGCCGTGACCCAACTGACCATGGCCAGAAATCAGGAGCACACTGCTCAAGATGGGGACTCGAGGGGCCTCTGTGAGCTGGGAACATGCTTGGAAGAGTTCCCTTGTGAGAATGAAGCTTGAGAGAGGCAAGACTGAGAGATAGAAAGTTGACAGCCATGAGAGTCTAGGTGTTGATTAGACCCATGGGAATAGATGAGACCAGGCAAGGAGGGAAGGAATCCTGAAGAATGTGACTTGAAGGCTGAGTCAAGGAAGAGGAACCATTTCTCTCAGACTGACCCTGACTTGTCAGGGAGAACTCCAGGAATGTGTCAAGAACTGGCAAAGGCAGTTTCTGGCTGCCTTTCCTTTCTGGAATTTATCAGGTTCACTGCTTATTTCTCTCAAGGGATTTTCTAGATCCTTTGTCTGTTCCCCTTCCCACCTGTGGACTCTGTGAAGTTTTCACCTTGATTGATGATGACTCAGTTACACTTCCTCGCCTGAGGCTCCTCCACACAGGGATGGATCCAGGTGTAGATGGAACCTTGAAGTCCACAGAATAGTGGGGACCATCTTTACAAAATCATAAATTTTGTTGGAAGTATGAAGTTATGAATAGAAGTTACAAGAACAAATTTATTTATTTAGAATGAGGAAAGAATTGACAATAATTACAATATTATTAGCTTAAATACCATAGATATCACAAAATCTAGAAGGTCATATAATTTAAAAAATTAATTCTTTTAAATACCTCTAGAATACTTTCCTCTAAATTTTTGATATCATAGATTTTAATCACTCCTGAATATTCATTGGAAGGATTGATGCTGAAGTTGAAACTCCCAACTTTGGCCACTTGATGCCAAGAACTGACTCATTGGAAAAGATCCTGATGCTGGGAAAGATTGAAGGCGGGAGGAGAAGGGGATGACAGAGGATGAGATGGTTGGATGGCATCATCAACTCAATGGACGTGAGTTTCAGTAAACTCTAGGAGTTGGTGATGGACAGGGAGGTCTGGCTTGCTTCAGTCCATGGGGTCGCAAAGAGTCGGACACGACTGAGTGACTGAACTGAACTGAATGTGACAATGGTTTTGTAATTATTTTCTGTAAATAGGTAATTCACTCTTTCCTCTAGTATAGTTGTTTAAACTTTCAAAAATTGATAGTTCAAACAGTCTTTTTCTAGCATCACAAAGATTATTGATAATGCCATCTAAGTGTTTAAGGTTGATGTTGAACCTAGGGAAACCATCAGATTTCTTCTCTATGTGAGCTATACATTTCAGCCAGATTAGCTTCTGGCCCTCAGCATTTCAAACCTGCTTCTCCTTACACACAGGCATCCAGTGCTGGGCTCTGTAAGATGCCTTGGTCCTGTAGGACAGCTGCTGGCTCAGCTCTTTAGGGCCAGGACCGCTCTCACTGGAGATGGGAGATGGGGAGATGGGAGATGGCTGGGGAGGGAGGGTGGTCATTTTTGTTGTTGTTGTTTGTGTTGCACGGCTTGCAGGATCTTAGTTCCCCAACCAGGGATCGAACCTGGACCCCCAGCAATAGACGCACTGAGTCCTAAACCACTGGACCACCAGGGAATTCCCAGGAGGGTGATCTTGAATAGCAATTCACCGGGGTGGGAGAGAGAGAGGTGAAGGTGTATCTTAAAGTAGGTGAATCCAAAGAGGAGATGACAGGAAGTTGAGGGAGTTCCTGCTAATGACTTCAGATTTTACCATGAGACAGAGTTGGCTATGAGAGGGAGGAAGAGATTTTAGGAGTAGTAGGGTTGTCGGGTTGTCATGTTTAGCAAATAAAAATGGGGACATAGTAAATATCGCATGGAACACACTTAACACTAAAATGTATTCGTTGTTTATCTAAAATTCCATTTTAATTGGGTATTCTGTATTTTGTCTTACAGTCCTAGGTGGGGCCTTAAGAGAAAAGTGAAGCTCTGGAACAGTCATTGAGAGGATGAGAAAGCTGACCAAAGATTAATACGAGGAAGGTCCAATTGAGATTAGAAATCAGAAAATTCCTGCCAGTGGTGTTGGGGTGTTTCTCTAGTGGGGCTTAGATGTTCAGGTACATTGGTATGCACACAGCCTGTGATTACAGAAACAAGGTTTAAAATATATGGTAAAAGATGGAATTCAGCTAGGTTTCTCTCTCTTTTTTTTTTATGCTCACTATTTGTGCTTTCAATAAAACCAAGGCAGCAGAAATTTTAAAAAGAAAGATGTACTGATTATAGATTGGCATCCAAATCACAGAATGTGTTAACATAAGAATATGTTATTCTATGCTTCCCAAACATGCCATAATATATTCACCCGAAGCAATAAATCCCAAGATGCACAAGCAAATTATAAACAAATGATAGAAGCTGAAGTTTCCTCTCAAAACAGGCTAAAGAACAGATAATTTAGAAAGAACAGATTTTATTGGAACGTCAATAGTTTTCATGACACAGATACTTAAACTACTCGTTTTCAACATACCCATATAAAGAAAATTATAAAAGGATTTTTGTGTTTTTTTTTTTAAGAAAGGATAATTTGACAGATGGAGTCTTTTTATGGGATCAGTAGAAGTGATAAAATTGAATAAATTACCAAGATTTTATCTTCATTTCTGTAATTCTCCCTAAAGATTTAGAGATGGCAGATTGAATCAACTGGGAAATAAATTTGCATGTTTATAACATGTCTAAAACAGAAATTAAAGACAAAAACTTCTGACTTGTTTTCAAGAGTTGTTTGTCTTAAGGAAACCTGCTTGCATGAGATATCACACATTCCTTAACCAAGTATCAAGGCTCATTGAAAGGACCTGCACCACAAAAGTTCCAAACACCTGAGTTGAGTGAACTGTCTATTATTAAACTTAGTGTCAAAGGACAGATAATAATAATTGTGAGCTAAAAAAAATCGGAGCAACTCAAAAAAGGTACTAAATTCTAGGTAATTTTATACATGAGGTGATTGTCTTATGACAAGGCTAAACTAGATTTTATAAAGTAAGTTAGTGAGTAAATCATATAATTTAGGGTGCTTTATGCCGGTGTGCCTAATTGTACTGCAGTATCTTGGAAGCAGGACCACTCCCAGCTCCAACTAAATCCATGTAATAAAAAAGGATTTGGGGGTTTATTTTCCTAGTGGGTGTTCTCCCTCTGTGTAGGATCCCAATTCCAAATTTGCATTGGTTGCTGTGTATGGATGAGAGATGTTTTGAGAAGATGTGACATCAATAAGAAATTGGAAAGAAATCAGTGCCTCTAAACGAAGCATGTTGCTGTCTTCCTTTGAGGAAACACTGAGCTCTTATTTGGATTAAACACAGCTCTAGAACAAACATATTGTTGACCTGGTTGTAGAGAGAAGCTGAGAACATGGTGGTAACTGCATTCTTCTTTTCCTTTTGCCAAGAACAGAGCACATCTGCCAGCCCAGTTCCCCCTGGTGGAGCGCACCTCCTACCCCCACTTGGAGACCTCCTGGACTCTTCTTGGACTTTCCAGCCAATGGCTTGCAGTAGTAGGGGAAACTCACTTCTATTTCGATGGGGTGGAAGGAATGAGGCCTGGTGATCAAACTGGGCATAAATCCCAGCTCCATCACTCACCAACTGTGTGACTTTGGGGAAGTCACTTTTCTGAACCTCGGTGTCCACAACTATAAAACAAGAATAATAATTTGTAATTTGCAGAACCACTGTGAAATTAAACAAAGCAAAATAGGTAAAGGCCTTAGTGGTTTCTTGCCTTCTTAGTGGAGGCACTGGCCTAGTGTAAACGCCTCTGACCCCCCTTCCTGTAGGTCCACGACTGGGTTGCCTCAGCTCTGGTGCCAGGTTCTGAGAACAGCCTGCTCCGCCCTCTTTTTCTTTTCTTCCTTCTCATCCCAGTGTTACCTCCTATCCTGGCCCCTCTCCAAATCTGGTGTTACGTGAAATCGTCTGCCTAAAACTTTGAAGGTGTTCCTAGGCTAGAAATCTCAGGGGTGTCTTCTCTCTTTTCTTAGCCCTCTATACCTTCTCCCTGGCATTCTGACTTAGCGATCCCATCCATAATTGTGGCTTTACCTCATTTATAGGGAAGGCTGTCAAATCTGTTTCATGCCTTGACTTCTCAAGCCCATCTCTGTCCTTCTTGTTCCCAGATCTCAACTGTCAGGGGGAAAGTATACAATCTGCACTTAGTCATTTTGCAGACATAGCCCATGAAGGCATAGTAACATCACCTGTTTATTGACCACCGAGTAGGTCCATGTCTCTGCACCAGGATACAATACAGGAGGGAAAAGATGTGTTTCTTGTCCTCAGGGGCTCCTGGGTCAGAGAGAGTTCCAGTGCCAGGTGCACGTGAGGCATAACTGTAAACAGGTGTCACTGGAAATAGAAAGTTATTTGTGGCCTTTAATGCTACCAGTGGAGCCAAGAATAAGCCATTGGCAGTACTGTCACATGGGAGAAGATAATGGCAAGAAAGGGAGGAAGGAAAGGAAGTAGAAGAGAAAGAAAAGAAAGAAGAAAAGGAGAAAGAGAAAGGAAGGAAGAAAGAAAAGGGGAGGAAAGGAGGAAGGAAGGAAGGAAGGGGGATTTAAGAAAACAGGAAGAGAGAGAAGTCATGAGAAAAGTCAAAAGAAGTCAGAAAGAAAAACACCAACACAGTATATTAACACACATATATATATGGAATTTGGAAAGATGGTAATGACAACCCTATATGTGAGACAGCAAAAGAGACACAGATATAAAGAACAGACTTTTGGACTCTGTGGGAGAAGGCGAAGGTGGGATGATTTGAGAGAATAGCATTGAAACATGTATATTACCACATGTGAAGCAGATGACCGGTCCAAGTTCAATGCGTGAAACAGGACACTCAAAGCCAGTGCACTGGGACACCCGGAGGGATGGGAGGGGATGGGAGGGGTGGGGGACCACATGTACCCGTGGCTGATTCATGTCACTGTATGACAAAAACCACCACAATATTGTAAAGTAATTAGCCTCCAATTAAAATAAATTAATTAAAAAAAATAAAGCAAGGGTCTATACTGAATGTCACCCAGTCAGACTCCCGATACTGAAATTTCCTCTGTAGTGTTTGCATCTAGGTATGCTACACTTACGCCTGAAAAATTCCAGGGGCAGGAAACTCACCCATAAATATTCCTGGAGCCGATTCCATGCTGGACAGTGATAATTATTAGAATGTTCATCTAATAAGGTAGAATTTAAAATTGCCTTCCGTCATTTTTTCCATTGGTTTCAGTTCCCTTCTGGACCTTAAAGCTAAGCCACACTTCTTCCCTGGCCTTCACAGCCATCACTGTCTGGGCCTGTCTTGTTCTAGAACTTCACTGTGTGCTATTTCCTTCTTCAGCTCAGTTTGCTGACTCCTTTCATTGCTAATACACCAAGCACGTTCCTGCCTGAGAGCCTTCTGACCAGGGCTCTGTCTCCTGCTCTCTGCATGAAATTTAGGTTTCAGCTCAAGTGCCACCTTGCTAGAGTAGCCTTCCCTACCAGAATAGCTAATATAGCTCCCTCTTGGGAGGTTAAATTTGATGACACTGAAACAAAAGAAAAAACACCTCTGATGACAAAGCACCCATAAGCCAAGTCAAAAGTAGAAAAAACCTGGGAAAGTATTTGCATATTAGCTATGACATGACTGATTTCCTGAAAATATAAAGGCTTTTCCTAAAAAAAAAAAAAATCAATGGGGCTATTGGTCTAATGTGAAAAAAAAAATGGGCAAAAGATATGAACAGTTCACCAAGCAAGTCACCCACATATGTTGCTCAAACATGTAAAAAAGTACTCAAACTCACCTTTGGTTAAAAAGAAGAGTGAAAGAGATACTTTTGTATCTATCAGATTGGCAAAGGTTAAACAAAAATAATATTGGCAGTTATGCAAACAGTTACACAAACAGTAACCCTCATATCCTGCTGGTAAGCGTGTAAACTGGAGCAATTTTTACAGAGGGTGATTTGATAATATTTATCAAAATTACAAATGTGCAAACCCTTTCACCCAGTGATTTTTACTCCTAGTAATTTGCCCCACAGATATGCTCTTGAGTGTGGGAATAGATTTGGGTACAAAGGTACTCATGACTGTGCTGCACGTAATAGCAAGAGGCTAGAAAATACCTATGGATCAGTCAGTTGGGAAATGGATAAATCAATTACAGTGCATTCATACAGTGAAATAATATGTGGTTATTAACAAGAAAGAGGCAGATCTGTGGCACTGGGGTGCATTGAGTGTATTTTGTATTGGCTTGCAGATATTTTAAATTCATTTTTTATTAAAGAGGGCCCCTAAAATTGTATGAGCTTCAGGCCTAACAAAACCAGGGTATTCCCCCTGCAACTCACTGTGGAAACAAGACACACTCCTGCAGTGATACAGGTTTGCTCCACGGTGATGCGAGCGGGAGAGGGATATGGAGGGATGTAGGGTTGGGTGGGGAATCTGCCTGCAATGCAGGAGACCCAGGTTTGATCCCTGGGTCAGGAAGATCCCTTGGAGAAGGGAATGGCTACCCACTCCAGTATTTTTGCCTGGAGAATTCCATGCACAGAGGAGCATGACGGGGTACAGTCCATGGGGGTTGCAAAGAGTCAGACATGATTGAGCAACCAACATTAATATGTTTTAGTAATATGGGCATGGATCAAGGTTGAGAGTGTGAAAAAGTTCCACAGGTGTCTACTATATAAAAAATAAATAAACAAGGATCTACTGTATAGCACAGGGGAACTATATTCAATATTTTGTGATAATGTATAATGCAAAGAATCTGGAAAAAGAATGGATTAGATATAGATATATGTCTGAATCACTTTGCTGTACGCCAACAACTAAAGCAACATTGTAAATCAAGTATATTTCAATGAAAACAAAGTTCCCCAGCTGATTCTGATATGTTCACTCCTTTGAGATTCACTCCTACCCTGTCTTCAGCTGCAAGTCCCCAGTGCTGTACAACCCTTCCCACACACGCCCCAACTTCTCATTATGACTTCAGAACCACTCATGCTGTCAGCCGAAGACCGACCCCTGCAGCTAATGTCCTGGTGCCTCCATCCATCTCGTCCATCTCCCTGTCCTCGTCAGTCTAGTTACCTCGGCCCCTGGGGCACCTCTCAAATGCTGGGACCAGCCATCCTAACTCCAGAGTTGTTTCCTCTCCCTGGCTCTTCTGGGCTCTGATGTGACATGCCACACAGCTACTGTTCACCTCACGTTTAATGGGAAGATGGCAATATGCCACTGGGAATTCCCGGATCATTCTCAAAGCCTATCAGTGTTCTAGAGGCAAGAAGCCTCTAAACAGTTCTTATCTTCTATAAATTGCCTGGGTATTCACTTTCAGTTTGTGTCCTTTTTGCCAGTTGTCAAACACCTGCTGCTCCTGGGGGAGTTTGGAGAAATTTTGAGGAAGCTGGGGAGTAAACCAGCCTGATTCCAATCACATAAGTCAAGCAATGAAGTTAGGTTTAAATATGTGTAGTTATATATGTATATACATATATACACATATGTAACCACATATATTGAGAAAATCAGATTTCCTTGAGTTCTGTGCATGAATATAGAAACAGTTAAGTATGCAGTGCATTCATGCAGGGTATGGTGAACGTCTGACTTGTGTCAGGCATAGTTTTAGGCACTTAGGGTTGCTGTGGTGAATCCATTCCTGCCCTTAAGACTCCTGGGTGGAATAGATGTAAAACAGATTCAAACCAAAAAAAAAAAAAAAGAGTAAAATTTTGATAGGCACCAAAAAGGAAATAAACAGGAAGCTGAGATGGGTGATGCCTCCTTTTGTTTGGGTGATAAAGAAGGCCTTTTGGAAGAAATAACATGGAGGAAGTAATGAGAAGCTTCCTTTATGGAGGGTAGGGAAAAGTGTATTCCACGGTGAAGATACTGCATATGCAGCATTGCTAAGGTAGAAAATAGAGCTTGGCTTGTTTCAAGAACAGCAAAAAAAGTTGTGTGACTAGATCACGGTGGGTGAAGAAGATGAGGAACAACGAACTGGTTCCTGGGCCATGTTAATGAGTTTGGATTTTAAGTGCAGAGATTTTACAAAGCAGAGTGATGCCATCTTATTTAGGAAGGAAAATTGCTCCAGCTTCTGTGTAGAGAATGGATTGATGTGGGGCAAGTGGCAAGTGGAAGCCCCAAGAGAAGGCTGTGGCAGTAATCCACTTGGGAAATGATGGCAGTCTGGACCAGTTGTGGCAGTGAGACAGGGAGAAGAGGAGGATTTGGAGTTACAACTTGGCAGTCAAATTAAGAGGTGGTATTGTGAATCCAGTGTGGGAACTGAGATTACACTTATCAGTCAGTGTCCAGCTGGGAAAACAGAAACCATGCTAGGTATTTCATGTGGAGGGAATTTAACCTAAGGAATGCATTACAAAAGTGTGGCAAGGTTGGAGCAGCCAAAGGGGAAGATGTGGTAACCTAGAGATAAGCATCTGTGAGAAGTCTTGGACCACTCCAAAGG